GAAATGAGTAAGCCTCAGGCTGAAGGAAAAGCAAATTCACGTCTGTACAGTAGAACACAGAAGAAGAAATTTCAACACTCTTCAGCAATAAAAAAAAAGAAGAAGAAATATTAGTTTATCTTGTGTAATTTTTGCTTATTAGTATGGTTGAATTGGATCACTGAAGGTCAGCAGCAAATAAATGGGATTAAATACATAAAGGATATTTGTATTATTTAACATATTTAATTATTGCAGGCAGCTTTGAGTCATATTCTGTGTTGTTTTTAACTGTTTTTATTAATTTTGAGGAAAACTAAATCTGATTTATTTATTTTTTTGAGTGAATGAGATGAATTAATGCATGTTCACATTTATTCTAGAACTAAAGTAACATTTTACTCCCGATTTCTCTCAACATGGGGACAGGAGAGCTTGCAATCAATAAATGGGAAAAAAAAGTAACTTGCGTTACTTATTTGAAAAAGCACCTCAGATATTCTCTTGTAAATTAAAAAGTAATGCGTTACTTTACTAGTTACTTTTAAAAAAGTAATCTGATTACGTAACTCACGTTACTTGCAATGCGTTACCCCCAACACTGATAATAACGTATGCACCAAATTACACAAAAGCGACACAAATATTGTTAGTGTATTTTAAAATGGGCCGTAATATATCGGGGGATATTGGATATTGCTGTTGAATACTTTCTAGATTAATTGATAAATCACTGATATTGGTTTAAAATCGAAACATAAAACATAAATTTAGAATCAAGTCATTCGAGCTTTCAGTTTCTCATTCTTTACCTTTTACTGCATTATAAAGATGTTCAGATTACAGATTGTGTATTTGGACGTGTTCCGACTGAGGATTTAGCTTTGGGAAATATTTTAATTTGACTTCACTAAAGAGAACAAAATGACTTTATTTTGTTATCCGTAAAAGGAGATATTAAATAAAAAGATCTGATTTTCCCACGTGAGCCTGTAGTCGGAGAACTACTCCTAATCAAGCACAGCTATAAATGCAAGCTGAGTCTATAATTAACAGTGTTGGGGAAAGTTACTTTTAAAAGTAATGCATTACAATATTGCGTTACTCCCTAAAAAAGTAACTAATTACGTTACTTAGTTACTTTTTATGGAATGTAATGCGTTGCGTTACTTTTGCATTACTTTCGCGTTACTTTTTCACTAAATTCACGTCTGTACAGTAGAACGCAGGAGAAGAAACACTCTTCAGCAATAAAAAAACAATGAAGCACAATTGTTAGTTTCTCTAAAGTAAGTTTTGCTTATTAGTACGGTTGAACTGGATCATCAAAGGTCAGCAGCAAAGATATTGGTTAATAAAATGGGATTAGATACATTTGATGTTAACATATCTAATTATTGCAGGTTTGCATCATATTCTGAGTTTGCATTTCACTGTTTTAATTCATTTTGATGAATAGCAAATCTGTTTTTTGTGAGTGGGATGAATTAATGCACATTCACATTTAGTCTAGAACTACATCATGTTCACACAACGCCTCTGCACTTCCGATTTCTCCCAATATGGGGACAGGAGAGCTGTCAGTCAATAAATGGGAATACAAAGTAACTGGCGTTACTTTAAAAAAAAAGTAATGCGTTACTTTACTAGTTACTTGAAAAAAGTAATCTGATTACGTAACTCGCGTTACTTGTAATGCGTTACCCCCA